ATATTTACTTGTGTGTACACTGTTTGTACTATATTTTACTTTATTTTTAGTCTACTTTTTTATATGAATATATTTACATATATTTTTGCATTCAACCACTATAAACCTTCAGCAATTTTCTCGCTTTCAATCAACAAAAAAATGTCCAAACTCGAACCCGAACGAGGAATATAGCTACAAATATAGAGAGAGTCATGCTTTGATGCCCAAAGAAAATGAAAAATAAGAATCGTAATGCAAGGCAAAACTTCCATGTGAAAATGAGAAAATTGTCTGGAATTTTGTTGGTAAACATGGTTTCCGTTTAAACTAGCTAATTACGAGACACACACACTTTACGATATATCATATACGATACGTTAAATATAATTACTAAATAGTGAATCACACGCAATATTAATCAAGCTGAACATTTATATATTATCGTTTAAAACTGACCAACAGAAGAGAAATAAAATACACAATGCAAAAACACTCGAAAAAGAAAATCAGTTCTGAAACACAAAATTGATTGTTATTTTTAATGGGTTCTATGGGTTTTGGGATCCCTAAACCAGAGTGATATTCTTTCTAAAAAATTAATATTTAATTGTTTTAAAATTCTCCTAATTTCAGTTACTCCAACTCAGGCTACTCCCGAACTCTCCCAGCGGCTTTTTGGCTCCTCTTCGACTACAATCTCTGCAACGGCCACAGTCGGCGGCTCCTCTTCGCTGACAGAACCCATTTCTCTGCTGGAGATCAGCGATAATCGGGACTCCACACCACCGGTTCACCTGCCCACTATTTTAGGTCTGAAGATTCGCGCGATTACCACCACAACGCCCACAACGCAACAGGTGTCTCCCCAGACGCCAACCAAATCGAAGCCCAAGATCAGCAACAGCAACTCTCTGCTCAAGCAGCAACTGCGTGGTGGAGCCAAGGATCCAGAGGTGCCAATGGGCACTAGGATCACGGTGGCGGCAGTGGCTCCTAATTCCGTGGAGGAAAATCCCAAGGAGCCGCCGAAGAAGAACCAGGATGAGGTCAACGCCTGCATGGGTCTGCAATCCCTGGCCAACGCCGCCGAGCAGCAGGCAGCCAACAACAGCGGCAACCTGCACCATCAGCTGCTCCTCCACATGGCGGCCAATAACTCAGGCTACTACCAACAGCAGCAGCAGCAGGGATCTCCTTCGAGTGTTAACCAGTTCATGGATGATGACTTGGATTTGCTGGAGAAGAGCGATGAACCCGATCACGAGATGCTGACGCTGGCTGACGAGAATGCCGGTTTGCCTGGCTATGGGGGAAATGAAAAGGAAGACTCCCCAGCACCCGAGACGGCAGCTCCTCCTCCACCGACTCCCCGTAGCAGCAAGAAGGGCGCCAAGCGACCCATTCAGCGGAGGAGGGTTCGCCGGAAGGCCCAGTCCACGCTGGACGACCAGGCGGAGCACCTGACCGAGATGTCCGTCCGCGGGCTCGATCTCTTCCGGTACGCCAGCGTGGTGGAGGGCGTCTACCGCTGCACCGAGTGTGCCAAGGAGAACATGCAGAAGACCTTCAAGAACAAGTACAGCTTCCAGCGGCACGCCTTCCTCTACCACGAGGGCAAGCACCGCAAGGTCTTCCCCTGTCCCGTCTGCTCCAAGGAGTTCTCGCGGCCGGACAAGATGAAGAACCACCTGAAGATGACGCACGAGAACTTTACGCCGCCCAAGGACCTCGGAGCCTTTAGTCCGCTGAAGTACTTAATCAGTGCCGCCGGCGACATGCATGCTTCGATTTACCAGCAGCAGCAGCAGGAGCAGGCCCACTACCAGCGGCAGTTGGCCGAGCAGCTGGAGCAGCAGAACGACCAGGATCAGGATCAGGATAGCTCGCTCCTCCTGCCGGATGTTAAGCTGGAGCAGGGTGATGACCAAGAGGCCGAGTTCCTCAGCGATGGCGGCTACGAGGCCTCCAATCCCGCGGCTGCTGCGGCCGCCATGCTGCGCCTGCAGCAGGATGTCATCATCAAGAACGAGATACAGATCTCGCCGTCGCCCTCGCCCACGCCCACGCCGCCCGCCTCCTGCGCGGTGGCGGAGGGCAAGTCCTTGGCTCTGGCCACCACCGCACAAACCGCAACGTAAAGACTTGGCAGGATCTAGCATCTAGTAAGGATTAGGATTAGTAAGGAAAGAAGAATACTTCGTAGCAACCATAAGCAATCATGGGCCACGATTCGTTTCACTCAAAAAACACCCAACTCAAAACGATTTTTTAGTTAAATTCAGTAGACTAGTTAATGTTAACCAGTAAGCAATATTATTACTAACACTTGCTCCGTCCAGAAAGCCTATTTAAGCAAATATAACATTTAATTTAATCTAGTTTTTATATAAGTTTTTAGCCACCTAAGCAACGCACACAGTTCAGTGAACTTTAATTACCTTTCGGCTTTAATTATAAACAATTCGACTGTCCGCCTACTGGATTCGAAAACAAAAAAGGGATCCTTTAGAGCAGGAAACTTTAGAACTTTTCATTTCTCTTTGTGATTTTGTTGAACCTTTTTATGTAGACCTTTGTTTTTTTTATTTTTGTTGTATATAGCCTATATATATATATTGTTTAATACTCAAAGTCCGTAGTATAATTTCGTTCATTTCCTTGGCAAACAAGCTGGAATAAAATGTATTGGCTAATTGTGCAATCATCAAAACGAGTTGGTGGCCGCTGATGGAAAGCGCGCAAGAGCGGTTCTGCGGCCCCACGAAATGTTGTAGACTAAACTTAAGACTTAAGACCCACTTAACTAGGATTTAGGATCTCTACTCATAAGGCAACAAAATGCGCAACGGACTTCCAGTGAAGAAACCAACTGATATTTATACGGAATCCCAATCTGGTATTATGTGTATTTACTTAACGCAACAACTACGACTTAAACTTGTGCGCTCAATCACTAGATTTTATAGGTTGCGACTTTAGAAACCCATAAGCGAGTTAATTGAATAAAGAGAATTTTACTGAAAGACACGGAAGTGTTTTAGACTAATTCGAAAATATCTTAAATATTTTATTTGCATTCCAATCCTCCATCTACTGATTGTTGGCCCTGCGGTACCAGAAACGAGCCCGAAAGTCATCGGAGCAGGTGAGGAATGCAGGCGCATTCGGCGAGTGCGTGATGTAGCGCACGGGTCCATTGTGTCCCAGTGAGTTCAGTGTGAGTCGGCAGCCATTGCGCGAGTTCCACGAGCAGAGCGAGGTGGTGGCCTCGTCGGGGAAGAGCACGTAGTCCTCGGTGTGGTTGAAGACGGCCTCTGTCTGGTGCTCCTGCTTGCCGGTAGTTCCTGCTCCAGTGTAGGTTTGAATGGGGCGACTGGTGCATAGTTCCCACAGGTAAACCAGGGAATCCATGCCAGAAGATAGAAGGTACTAAAAAAGAAGTAGGGATGAATAAGGTTTCCTTAGTAATTAGATAGTAGAGCCCTGCGTGAATCATTTGTATGTTATGAAATTTCTGATTTGTTTAATTCAATTCTACGTGAAATAAATTGAATGTTTTCTAATTAATTTCGAATTGAATGAATAAATGGATCATTTTTATGAATTTTTTGAATTTGCTTTTTTAAGAACAAGTAAAAAATAATTAACAAATAAATGTTAACTGCATAGTAAATAAAATTCAGGCAGATTTAATCACAAAATTATGGCCCTTTCTTCTTCTAAAGTAATTGTCGTTTGAATTATTTCGGAATTCATGTCATTCATTCATTCAATTCTATTAAACTGAAAATTCTAATTAATTCATTCATATAAAACAAAAAATTCAAAAAAGATCAATTGAATCCATTCATGCAGGGCTCCATTAGTCACCCTACCTTCCCATTCCTGGTAAACTCCAGCGAGCAGATGGCCGCTCCGCCATGCGCCTCGGCAATGGTGTTGATGCACCGGCCGCTGATTCCATCCCAGATCTTGATGTCCCCATCGTAGCTGCCGGTGGCGTAGAGCTTTCCCGTGGGCGAGTACTTCACGCAGGTCACGCCCGCCTTGTGCTGCTGCGAGGGAATGGCGCTCACGAAGCACTGGGTGGTGTGCACGTCGTAGACCCGCAAAACGTTGTGCTCCGTGCCGATGGCCACGTAATCCCCGGTGGGATGGAAGGAGAGGCACAGCACCGGTTCGCAGTCGGTGAACACCTTGTGGGCCTTCTTCACCGACGGCTTGGCGATGTCGAACAGCTTGACGGTTCCATCGCGCGAGGCGGAGGCCAGGATGTGCTCCTTGGGATGAAACTCCAGGTAAGAGACCTCATCCGTGTGATCGTAGAGCGTCCGGATGACCGGGTGGCCCTGCTGCTCCCTTCCCGGCTCTATATCCTCGGGCGCCGACTTGGCCAGCATCCGCTCCACGTCCAGGATCTTGATGCTGGCGTCCACGCTGCCAGTGGCCACCAGGGAGCCGTCGCAGCTGAAGGCGCCGGCGCGACAGGCCTGCTTGTGCGACGTCACGTAGGCGGTCTCGTAGGAATGCGGCTCGGGGGCCAGAGCAGAGGCCTCCGGCTCGAATTCCAGGTCAATCCCGGGCAGCACGTCGTCCGTGGGCGTCTTGTCCTTGTCGCTCAGCGTCTGCATGCCCGCAATCATCACGTGCAGCAGCCGCTCGCTGGGCGCGCACTGATCCGCCTTGACCAGCATGGACAGCTCCATGGCGAACTTTTCCAGGCCATCGTACATCAGTTGGCTGAAAATCCAGTTGGGGATTACTCTCTAGGGGCCTTGCTGTACTGCACCCACCTGATCATCAGCCGGTAGAGGATCTCCCGGTTCTTCACCAGGTTGCTGGGGTCCAGAATTTCATCGCGCATTTTGGTTAATAATATTAATTCTAGTTTTTTTACGGAATATAAACAAAAACTGATGGTTCAGCTGTGGCTATCGGTTATCGTTTGCCTTGCCGGTATGCCATCTCCAGCAGTGCCCGTGTTTAAATACTGACTTTTAGTATTTGGTATTTTCCTGCTCTATGGTCACTCTAAACAGCTGCAACACGTGCAATTTTAAAAATTGTTTTGGTTTATTTATCTTAATATAAACCTCTTAATTGCTTAGTTTTACCGCTTAACAATGAAAATCCGCAAGAATCATGCCCGCAAGCGTTACCGCTACAATGTGAACCGCAAGACGATGAACAAAACCCGCAGTTCTACGGGAAAAATTAAGGAGTAAGTGAGATCTATCCTATGATTTTCTATAAATTGGAATATAAATTACAATTAAATATTTTCCCTTTTTCAGTCCCAGGATGAAGAAGATGTGGATGGAGGACCAGCGCGTGGGCACCAACTTCAGTGAAATGGGTTTGGCCAAGGATGTGAACAAGGCCATTGCGATTCCCAGCTACAAGAAGGATCGCCTCCTGGCGGCGCGAGTTGTGAATGGATTTCTGGAGGAGGAGCTGGACGAGGACGAGCGACGGGCACTGGGCCTCAAGAAACCAGTCGTGGAGGAGGGTCCCAAGCGGGGACATGTGGTCCAGGAACTAGAGCAACTGGCCAGCGAGCGGGCCGACCCGGAATTCAGGTAATTCAATCCCCATATTCCGTAGTAAACCCTTCTCTAATTGATCAAGCATCCAAACAGATTACCCAAGGGCGTGGTCAAGGAGCTGTCCTACTTCCTCGACAAGCACCAATTCAACTACAAAGCCATGGTCGCCGATCGCAAGAACTTCAACCAGAGCACCTGGCGACAGTTCCGGCTGAAGATCCGCAGATTCATGTCCATTCCGGAGCAATTCAACGTCTACCTGGAGCAGAAGAACCTGCCCGTGGGCGTGAAACCGGACTGGGAGGAGTACGAATCGGACAGTGAATGGAAATAGACGCTTCTGACCTAAATGTACTTCCCTTTCGGTTCTTATGCTATTATTTGTAATGTTTAGACTTAATTCTTTAAATACACAGAACAATAGGCGAGTAGAAACAGATTTTTCTAAATATTAGATGGTTTTACGAATGATTTAAACATTTCGTTTTTAGACTTCCGTCATTCTGTCGTACGACAGAATGAGAAGCAAGAGATAGAGGGCATGTGGTCTCATTCCAACGCGAATGCGAATTACTTGCAACGAGTTGTCATTTTGCAACTTGATTAGAGATGAACTCGTGATTGCCATTTTAAAATCATATTAAAAAATGCTTGCAATTTCGTCAGTAGTTAACAAAGCTTTTATCACTTTTAAATACATTTCGCGTTATAATGTAGTATTCTTAATACTCAAATGTTTTAAAAAAATTCATTATTTTGAAGAATAGGTTTTTGCATATGGTCCAATGGTATGCACCCCCACTTGGGTGAAAAATAAAATGAATTTTGGTATTTAAAAAGTATGCAACAAAAAAATTGTTCTGATATCACCCCCAAAAGAAAATCCTAGATCCGCCACTGTATGCACATAAACATAGGAAATAAATAATTGTGTACAAAAATGGCATGAAAAGGTTTGCACTACAAACTTTTTTTATAGAAATTTTACTCAATATTTTTTAAAGACAAACTTGAGAAATTGAACCGAAAAGGCCAATAAAATCACGATCCTGTGTCCACCTCTAGTTGGAATCGGTTCGGCTCCGTGCTGCTCGGAGTCGTTCGCTTTTTCGGTCTTTCCGTTTTGTGATTTCGAGGTAAGTGCACGCGAGCTCCCGGAAAATCCTTAAAAAATTGGCAATATTAATAGGCATCGATTGGTTTTGCAAGTGTCAATTAACCAGGTCTCGGGTTTCCCTCCCCCGCATATTTAAGTGGATTTTCTTCGATTTTCCCCTGCTTTAGTTGAGTTTTTCCCAAAAAAGTGTGTGTGAGAAAAAGTTTTGCATTGCCGGCCGGTTTCCCCACGACGTTTTGCATAATAGCCGCATGGACAGGAAAATAAAGGTGGCTGTGTGCAGCGTAAATCGATCAAGAACCGAATTTAAAATTTGCGTTTCCAGTGCCCTGGAATTTAATCAAATTGGCTAGACTTTTGTATTCCAACATGGCGGCCGGCTGCAAGTACGTGCATGTGTGTGCGTGTTCGATTTCGCCTGGATTATTCCCGTTTTGAATTGCCGTTCCCACGCTTTTCACTCTTCTTTCCCTCGGCTTCTATTGGAATTCGCAGGCAGAAAATGAAGAAAATTGCCGCATGACACATGCTCGGCAGATTATTTTCCCTACCCAAAGTATTTTTACATCTTCCTCTCCTCTTTTTCCTTCTTGCAATTTGCACTCCTATGCAAGTACAGAGATTTAAAAATAACATGCGGGAAAATCGGCATGTAAAATTGTCACTAGGGTAGAAAATAAATCACAACGCCCTGCAGTTCTTCTCTCTCTTTCCCTCGCTCTCTCTCTCTCTTTTGAAGCTTTGGGAGGCAAGTGCAATCGTGTGCCATCTCTTTCCCTCCCGCTCTCTCCCTCTCTTTCTCTGCAGTTTTTCACCCTTTGGAATCGCGAATTTTCCGCCGCACGAATGTCGCCGAATGCCGATGCTTCTGGCCATTTTCGCCCATTGAATTTTCTTTTCACCATGTTGCGAAAGTTGGCAAATTTGCCAATTTCGACATTAGGATTGTAATGCATGGCTACGTATTTTGTATTTTTTTGGGGAAAATGAAAAGCCGGCCGGTGGTACTGCCGCACTTCTCTCCTGCTTAATCCCCCACTGGAGATGGAGAGCAGAGTGCATTTCCCCAGAGTTCGCAGACTTCGGCTCGATTCGCTTCTGCCTGGGTCTCATTATTGATTTTTCGCCCGGTGCAAATCGGCCGAGGAATATATACGACAGTCTTTAACCGACAGACACTCGAGCCTGGTCGTTGTCCGGCTGCAAAGTGCGGAAAAACCCGTTTATAAACTCTCATACAATTACAATATTTTCCCTAATTTCTAGGATAATTGCGTCCAGAGGATTTGTGATCTGTTTTTGTTAGCTCTCAGCATCTGCAAGTGAAGAAAAGCTCTAGAAAATTTTCGTGAAAACAGGTGAGTTTTTCTATAATCCACCGGAAGTGCTGCAGACATTCGAAGACACTTGCAAGTATTAGCCCTCTTTATAGAAAACATTTTTCAAATGCAAAAATATTTATATCAAAAAAGGTTTTTTTATAATAGACACTGTTAAAAAGTTAAAAAAAATCATAATAAATATATTGATCTTTTATAACACAAATGAATATTTAGTTCATGAATAATGTAACATAGAACTATAAATTTGAATTTAATTTGAATATTAATTTCTATATTCTGGTAATAAATCAATTTATTTATTGCTTTGCGGTTCCATAATTGCTATAATATTTAAAAAAATTGTCTAGTCCTAGTTTTTTTCCCTGTGTACCTCTGTGCATGTGTGTATGCAATGTCCTTTTGGTGTCTACACCACGATGACACGACCCACACCCAAAGCATACACACGAACGTCACTCGCCTGCACCACCCAATCCACCCACTCATCCGATTCTCCCCCCTCTTTTCTCCCACCTCCCTGCAGCTCTGAGGAAATCCGCTTAGTCTGCAAGGATGGGCAAGGAGAAGATCCATATTAACATCGTGGTCATCGGCCACGTGGACTCGGGCAAGTCGACGACCACCGGGCACCTGATCTACAAATGCGGCGGCATCGACAAGCGGACGATCGAGAAGTTCGAGAAGGAGGCCCAGGAGATGGGCAAGGGCTCCTTCAAGTACGCCTGGGTGCTAGACAAGCTGAAGGCGGAGCGTGAGCGCGGCATCACCATCGACATTGCGCTCTGGAAGTTCGAGACGGCCAAGTACTACGTGACCATCATCGACGCCCCGGGGCACAGGGACTTCATCAAGAACATGATCACCGGCACCTCGCAGGCCGACTGCGCGGTGCTGATCGTGGCCGCCGGAACGGGCGAGTTCGAGGCGGGGATCTCCAAGAACGGCCAGACCCGCGAGCACGCCCTCCTGGCCTTCACGCTGGGCGTGAAGCAGCTCATCGTGGGCGTCAACAAGATGGACTCCACGGAGCCGCCGTACAGCGAGGCCCGCTACGAGGAGATCAAGAAGGAGGTCTCCTCGTACATCAAGAAGATTGGCTACAACCCGGCCTCGGTGGCCTTCGTGCCCATCTCGGGGTGGCACGGCGACAACATGCTGGAGCCCTCCGAGAAGATGCCCTGGTTCAAGGGCTGGTCCGTGGAGCGCAAGGAGGGCAAGGCGGAGGGCAAGTGCCTGATCGATGCGCTGGACGCGATCCTGCCGCCCCAGCGGCCCACCGACAAGCCGCTGCGCCTGCCGCTCCAGGACGTCTACAAGATCGGAGGCATCGGCACCGTACCAGTGGGTCGCGTGGAGACTGGTCTCCTCAAGCCAGGTAAACCTGTACTTCCCTGTTTTCCGGCTCTTCCCTCCCTCGCTTGATTATTTCTTTCATGTACTGGTAGTGTGGTACTCTGGTACTCTGAATCGGAATTTGGGTCGCCAGTGGGCTGGCACTCCCACTCCCTTTTCCACTGCCTCCGAATGAGAATCCAAATCTCAGCTCGCGACGAAGTCTTGCGCATGTATGCATTATTGAGAGCGAGGGAGTGCACTTGGGGAAATTGGTTATCCCTGTTTTCAAATTGAAAGTGAGAGTCCTTCAAATAAAATTAAATTTGAAATCCTAATAAACATTCAAGTTTTGAATTCAAGTGTTCTCTAAAGCAGAAACAATGGATTCAGTTTTATTTATTCCTGTATTCCTTTTATTTATTATTTAATAAGAATAAATATACTAAATAGCTTTTAAAGTTTTTATTTATTTTATAAATACACAGAAAAAACATTCGATATAAAATAGTGTCAATCCCACCTTATTTCATGTCAATAAAAAGCCGATTTATGTAAAATTGATGATTCAAACATATCAACTTGATATTTGATCATATCATTTAAAATACCAAATTTAGTATTTAAAGATAAACATAATCTTTATTCATATCAAAATGAAATGAAATAACTTGATCCTTAAGAAATATTAAATTGACCCGCACATGTTATTCTGATCTGAACGATTTAAAAAAAAAAGTTCTCGTGTTTTAGGTAAATATTTACCCCACAAAAAGAAAACAAATAGTTCTGGATAAAAAAGCTTATTAGAAACACTCCTAGTCTACCCTGTTAAACATTCCTCCCGGTGTATGCACCCACCCCCACCCGAAACTCCCACGTAAATACATATATAGAACTCGGATGTGTAACTCTCCGTTCGTTCGGTCGCTTCGTTTCCGGTCTATCGTTGCAGGCATGGTGGTCAACTTCGCCCCGGTCAACCTGGTCACCGAGGTGAAGTCGGTGGAGATGCACCACGAGGCTCTCACCGAGGCGATGCCCGGCGACAACGTCGGCTTCAACGTGAAAAACGTGTCCGTGAAGGAGCTGCGTCGCGGCTACGTGGCCGGCGATTCCAAGAACAATCCTCCCCGAGGAGCAGCCGATTTCACCGCTCAGGTAGGATGATCATTGATCACACAGAAAAAAAACCGATATGAAATAGGGTTATTTCTACCTTATTTCATATCAATAAAAAGCCGATTCAGATTCAAACATATCAACATGATATTTTATCATATCATAAAAAGTAATAAATTTAGTATTTTTTGAGCAAATAATATCAAAATGAGATGAACAACTTGATCTTTGACCATTACAATTTTTTCTGTGCAGGAATACTTGATAATTTAACTATTTTACCTCCCTTAACAGGTAATTGTGCTGAACCATCCGGGCCAGATAGCCAACGGCTATACTCCCGTCCTGGACTGCCACACGGCCCACATTGCCTGCAAGTTCGCCGAGATCAAGGAGAAGTGCGACCGCCGTACCGGCAAGACCACCGAAACGGAGCCGAAGGCCATCAAGTCGGGGGATGCGGCCATCATTGTGCTGGTGCCCAGCAAGCCGCTGTGCGTCGAGAGCTTCCAGGAGTTCCCTCCGCTGGGACGCTTCGCGGTGCGCGACATGCGGCAGACGGTGGCCGTCGGGGTCATCAAGTCGGTCAACTTTAAAGAGACGACCTCGGGCAAGGTGACAAAAGCCGCTGAGAAGGCACAGAAGAAGAAATAACTAGGGTGCCAGCAGAACTACGACATCACTCAAAGAACCCAACAACAACAGCAGACGGCTAGAGCAACAGCAACAAGAACTAAGACAACATCACCACACAATACACATGTCAAAATTATAATATCCACTCGACGATCTAAAGCAAACCCTAGCTCCGTGGCAAAAAAGACACCAATTACTACTATTACGAGGCAGATATTATATGAGATCGATCAGATAATACCCTATATGATAACCACACGTACGATTAGCGAGGAGGAAGCCAAGCAGCCGGAGGAGGAGGAGTTCCAGCTCGCCGGATCGGTTCTAGTCGCCTTCGCCCTGCTGGTCTACTGCAGCTATCTGAACTTGTATCGCCACCGCAAGTCCTTCCGCAGGAAACCAAGCACTAACCGATCCCCAGCAGTGCTGTAGTGCTGCAGGGCCCCTCGATATATACTCATCTACAACTAAACCTTACATTTGATTAGCAGCCACATCATCCACCTGTTTCGAATGGATTTTAAACACTTTTTATACTTTTGATAAGTCAAGTCGGAGGCATTCGATTTAAAATCTATTATACAATGTAATTTCCGAATTTAGTTTTAAACCACGCCTACGCTCCCCTAAAAACCCCCAAAAGCCCCAAGAACGAAGAAGACTACATTCGCAATGAATTCAAAATTTCTCTTAAAACCAAAAGACAAATGCTTAAGAAGTATTAAAAAAAAAAACATAAGAAATCAACATAAACACACATAATCATGCGGTTTTTGAAAACATTCTAAATGTTTAATCGAGCCTCATTTGCATTTGCATATACTACAATTATATACGTTAACCACATGTCATTGCATTGCCCATAACCAGCATATTAAATACACGTTACTCTCTCACTCTGAATTTATACAAAATCGACAGACAATTGTAACCGACACCAGAACAATTCTTGGATACAGAACATGTTGCTTGATACAAGATCTTTTAAATGATGAGAAAAATAAAGGAAGCTTAACCGTAAAATACCACAAAACAATGGGTTTTATTTTGAATTTTTGGAATATTGGTAATTATGATACAAGATCTTTTAAATGATACGAAAATTACGGCTAAAATACAACAAAATAACGGGTTTTATTTTGAATTTTTAGAATTTAGCTTAAGAAATTTGTTGTTTCTTTTATTTATCAGTTATTTTCATTGATAAATATACATATTAGGGATTCGTTAATTTTAAATTCTTAAATGTACCTATTTCAAATTCCAGCGGTTCCGAGTGGTTCCTTTTGAAGTGGTTCCATCGAGAGGGGCGACAACCCTGGTTCTGACTCACTGTAAGAAATACAACAAAACAAAGCACCACAAACTCTACCGAATCTCAGCCGGCTGTTCGAAAATCATTCGAATTAACTGTGACTCAGACCAAGAACTCCCTTTTCGAGGTCTACTAACTTTAGTCCGTAGTTAAACCCAGCAGAGACCGCACAGAGATGACAGATCCCCGCATCCGACAGCTGGTGATTAAGGCCGGAGTGGTCAAGCGGCTGACCAGGGAGAAGTTCTGCTACGCCAAGGAGGTGAAGATCGAGGAGTCCAGGCTGGAGAAATTCAAGGGCGAGGGAGCCGACGACCATGTGCTGCGCAAGCAGGAGGAGGTCATCCAGGAGTGCGTCATGATGGTTCCGGACTCCAAGAGGAGGTAAGTGACCCTAAGATCTTTCGATTTAACTGGTAATTTAGGAAGAATTTTCCTATAAAGGCTGCAAAAGGAGTACGATATTCTGGAAAAGTACCTCGCCGATGAGCAGGATCTCAAGGAGACGGAGGAGTACACGAGGGCCGCCGACGTTCTCAAGGCAGCCAAGGCCGAACTGGAGATCTAAGGATCCTCACATTCCCAGTCCCTGTTTAAACAGCATTTAATACCCTTTGATATCAGCATTAATGGCAATTCCTCGAGTTCTGAGCTGCAGAGCGGCCCAAAACCCTAAGTATTAAGCAACTTAATACCCTCTTATCTTGTTTTGAATTTTGAATTGTAATAAAAATAAAACTAAATATATATTTTCTAATATAAGAAGCAGCTGTTTATAAACATTCAAGGTGGTTTTTTATTGAAGAATTTAAATTTTAAAAACTAAATAAAGATGTATGCCCCAGTAGGACAATCGATAACTGGGCTCTATCGTCTTCCGATATATTCTAAAATATGGATAGTATAAAAAACCTTAAATTAAGCCAAATTAAGGCCAATATTCAGCATGTCATAGCGAATTTGGAGAAACTGGAGCAACTTGGACGACTTCCTGGACAGGAACTCGATGTGGAACAGGCGGAGCAACTGCAGCGGAGCACGACTACCCTACTGGATGAACTTGACCAAGTGAATGCCCAAAGAGTAGCCGAAATACAAAAACAAAGGAAACGCCGGCGACGCTTAGTTAAAGAGAAGAAAAAGCGGTTCAAGAGGGAAACCATCAAAACCGAGAAAAAAGAACAAAAGTACTCCATAGAGCCGCCACGAAATCCCCTAGAGAAACAGGCGGAGCACATATCCCTGCGTAAAAAACACGATGCCGCCTCCATTTTGGAAACCTTTGATCTTCTGGAGAAACTATGCGAATCTCGGGGAGGTGACAAGGCCGCCTTAAAAAAAAAACTAACCCAAATGCGTCGTGTGTGGCGGAGAGTTCAAGAGGAGAATCGAGGAGACCATGTCAGGGAGTCCCAGAAGGCTGCCTCCATAGAATCCCAATGGCAGGCGGTTTTCTTTGGCAACTCTGAACCTTTGGTAAAGGAGAACAAGGAAAAGTTCCTGGAGATTCGGTGAGTTTAGGGGTATACTTTATCCGTAGATACCTTTCCTATTAAAATAACATTTTTTTTTAGCTCCACTTGGGACTCTTACATTAGTTTTGCGGACAGAGGTTCCTGTATTCCCCGAGGATGGGTGCTACCACCAATAAAACCCACAGCTCAGTGGGCAGCCTACAGAATTACAGAATAAATATATACAACACCCAACTATCTTTACTAATTATCGTGGAATTTTATTTCTTTAGAAGAATCTCTCTCTGTTAGCTCAGCTCAGATGAGATCTATTCGTAGATCCAGTCCTTGGCGGCCGGGGTCCAGGTGACCAGCTCCTTCTCGTTGAACCACAGGGCGATCTCCTTCTCGGCGGACTCGACGGCATCGGATCCGTGGATGATGTTGCGGCCCACCTGGATGCAGAAGTCGCCGCGGATGGTGCCGGGCAGCGAGTCGGCGGGGTTGGTGGCGCCGAGCATCTGGCGACCGGTCTTGACCACGTTCAGACCCTCCCACACCATGGGCACCACGGGGCCGGAGTTCATGTAGTTGACGAGTCCGGGGAAGAAGGGGCGGGCGGACAGGTCGGCGTAGTGCTTCTCCAGCAGCTCCTTGGAGGCCTGTTTATTGAGATTACACAGAGCGTTATCAGTTGAGATGGCTAATTGCAGTTTTGACCTCTAAAACACATGTCATCCGCCATGATGACGCCTGCACTGAACCTTTGAGGTTAGGTCCGAAGATAACCCCGCGTGGGGCTACCCTACTATTCCAATATTGATTTCCCTCTAATCTAATTATCCCCTTACCCAGGTGAACTTCAGGGCGACCAGCTTGAAGCCCTTCTGCTCGAAGCGCTCGATGATCTTGCCGACGAGTCCCCGCTGGACGCCATCGGGCTTGACCATGATGAAAGTCCTCTCCTTGTTAGCCGCCATTGTCGCCGAGATTATGGAAAAGAATGCCAAAATTATCCCGAGCATCGGTAGCTTCATGTGTTTGCCGGTGCAGAAAAATCTTGAATGCGAAAAGCCGGCTGGGTGAATTTGGGGGAATCGCTAAAGGGTCACACTGTGTGGTGCCTTTTTTTTTGTTTTTCATGGTTTTTGGGGGGTTTCTCGGGTGGGTAAACCTTATCGATCGTGGGGAAAAAGTTTCAAGTTAATTACCGCTCAGTTTTCCATCGGTCGTTTGGAAATGTACTCGAAAATGGCCGTGGTGTTGAAAATTGTATTCACTTTGGTAGCGTTGCCACATTTTTGGTAATTTGAATTCTCAGATTTTTGGAAATTGTAATTTCCGGTCTATTTAACAATATATTATAGATACTGAGATAACTCCAACTTTATAGCTACAATAAAGCTATTATCTGAATAATTTGCTGCACAATTTAAAACCATTTACCGAATTGGATTTCAAATCACGGTTACTTTTTATATTGTAAAAATCGTTAAAATGTATTTGAAATTCAAATTTTGAATGCACCAAGTTCTCTCAAATTATTGATTCTTAAAAGACCAATTTAAATCGAGTATAGGGTACTAATTATTAGATCATCGATTTAAGATTAATTATAGATGGTGAAATCAGCGATTCCCTAGTATCACATTCTAGGTTTTCCCCTCGGAATCTGCAATTGTTGATTCATCCCAAGTAAAACCACCGCAAGTCACGTTTTGATTTCCTTTATGTCTCGATAAGATTAGGTCCGCGTAATCACAGTACGTGATAGAACAATACAAGTTTACAAATAATATATACAGTTGGTAGATGCTGATTTGCGAGGTAAATCACTTGGTGCCATCCAGTTTGGTCAGGCCATCGGCGTACTGGAACTCCGGGCTATTCTCGTACTCGCACATGTCCAGGGCGATGACGCAGCTCTCCTTGACCACCCGCTTGTCGTCCTCGGCGTAGCGGTTGAGGATCTGAATGCACTCGTCGGTGGCGATGGCGCCCAGGGCCTCGGCGCACTCGTGGCGCACCATTTCGTTCTCCAGGCGATCCTCCAGGTTCTCCTGCAGGAAGCGGATGCTGCAGGGCTCCTGCAGCTGGCCCAGGACGAAGGCCACCTCGTGGCGGAAGAGGGCGGAGGAGTCCTTCAGGCCCTCGGCGATGGCCAGCACGCTGTCCTCGGTGCGCAGGTTGCGCAGGCTGAACATGGCCCGGTAGCGATCGAAGAGGCTCTGCTGGGCGTCCAAGTAAATGCTCCTCAGCTCGGCGACGCTCTTGTCGCCCGCCGTTGGCGG